TTGTAAAATAACTCGAAAAACACATCTTAAATGCTTTATTTGAAGTTAAGTTTTGGCTTTTTGAAAGATAATAGCCTGATAATAATCTAATTAAAAGAAAAATTAATTTCTGTATATAAATAAAGTTCTTAGGCATTTTAAAAACATTGTCACTCATCGAACTGCCATTATAGACGAAAAATGTAAACAAATTTAAAAATCTCTTAAAATCCAATATTTATCCTAGAAATAATGTTTTGAAGGCATTAGGAAATTTAACAATTAAATGGATTTTGTAAAAGTAATGTTTACAGTAAAAGGTAAACCTTACTTTTACAAAATCCAGTTAATTGTTAAATTTCCTAATTAAAACTTAAATGAAAATAATGTTTATTTATGCACATTAGTCTGTGGTGTCAGAAGTCAAACCTAAAAAAAATTTTTTTAAAATCAAGAAATATTATAACACCAAACTTAAAAAAAAAGTTCACAAAAAAATAAAAAATCCTGAACACCATCAGTGCAATAATGAAGACATTAGTTAAAAATAAATTATCTTTCTTTAGACTTATAGGATTTTATGAAACTTAGTAGAATGAATATTTTTATTTTTTACTTTAGATTAGTATTATTTTCTTTTTTTTTAGTTAAATGATACTGTAGAATCTGACTTCAACACACTAGTGGATCACACCTAATTTCCATAATGCTGTTATTTAACAATGTCTTGATTGGGCAATAAATATTAAAATTGTATTTTGTGTATCTTGACATGCAAAGTTCTAAAATCTTGTGCAAGCTAAACACATAGAGGCTCCAAACCAAGTTTCAGCAACTGACATATTCTAATTGCCAAGGTCATGTTTCTGTCTATGCACAACCTGTTCAAACCAGAGAACCGTCAAAATATTAAAAACACGTTCTCAAGCCTATCACATGATCAACAAGTAAATAAATATGATACACTAGCACATTCGAGCCAGTGAGCATCATGGCAACAATGCAATTGCATACTAAAAACTATGTCACACATTCTGAGGCTAAAAGTTACCCATTAAATAATCTTCCAGAAAATTCATTCACTCAAGTCGTTCACACATCAGTTTTTGCTCAACTTGCCAAATGAATCTATGATGCTCAACTATTTGAAGTTTTAAAGTTATTTTGATAACATAAAAACAAACTTTCAGAATTCAATCACTCAACTCATTCAAACAGCAGCTTTTGTTCATTCCTCTAACATTGTTATTACACAGCAAAGTTCTTAATCACAGAACATTATTATTACACAGAAGTTCTCAACCACAGAGCATTATTATTACATAGCAAAAGTTCTCAATTACAGAAAATTATTTCATCCAGAATTTATTTACTTCTTGACAACATTACACTCAAAGAAAGGCAACACTGGAACAATTAAGTTTTTTCCCAATTTACACTGGAAATTTATATTTCACAAACACTGTTTAATTACCCCATAAACAGAATTATTCTTCAACTAACTCTGTGAAACTTACATCAGCACAATTACAACAAATATTTCTTCAAATAAACTCACACACCATAACTCCAAACACCAAAATAAGAGTTTACACACATAATTAAAATAACAAAAATCATCAAGATTTCACTCACAAATCTTTATCCATTTCAGTATAATGCATTGTATCTCTCGTGCATTCATTTTAAAGTTCGCGCATTGCACAGTAATCAAGACAAGTGAAGGTTCCGCGCATTACTACTCGAGGCAAACGTATGTAAACATAGCTAGTAATGGCAGCCGTGTTGTAGATGCAACGCGAATAAGGCCGATTGTCGATAACTGCTAAACCGTATTCGAGCGCAAACTTTTATTGTTATTTTCAAAATATTCAGGCAATTTCACACCATAATGGAAAATTTTCATTACAATTGTTTTTTTTCTTTTTGGATTATAATGCAAATTAACAAAATACAAAACAAATTCGAGAGCCTATGTGAAATTTCCCTTCGGCCAATGAAAACGTAGTTTTTCACAGGAATTAACTGTTGAGCCTAGAAAAAGAAATAAAATAAAATAGCAATCCTATGCGAAATCTTTTTTGATATAAAATAAGGAGAAAAATTAAATCAACAAGAGAAGCGCATTCGAAGTCATATGAAAAGTTTCATTTCTGTCCAGCATTCAGATTTTCGCCAGTGTCAAATTACTCACTGATTATATTATCGGCCTTAACGAAGCGCTTGGCATTTCAAAGAAGTCTATTTAAAGTAAACTGTCCAAGAAAGCTAAGTATTTCAAACTATTTCATCTACTTTTGAATGTATGCCGCCGTATAACCCTTATGTGAAAAACGAACTCTTAATTTCTTTTAAACATTTTTGAATATTATTTTGTGTCAGATGATTTACTGATGAATGAACATTTCCTCTTCATGACTATTTGTTGAAACTACGAACTTTAAATAAATTCCTTATCTTGTTTTGTTAAAGAAATAACCCGTGTGTTTCTTCGTCATTATCATCCATCATTAATCGTTTTGATTTGGGTAAATCAACTGTTCATTTTAACCCCGAGGTCCCACGCCACTATAATCTGGTGAGCTTTGACCCTTGAGGAAATACATACCTATTCTTACTGCAATCATAAGGGAACATCTGACAACGAACAGATGAATCAAGCATCCACAGAGGTTGGCGAATCGATATAAACAGTATCCATTAAAATACCCGTGTTCATTGAATCAAATGTCATTGCACAGTTCTCACTTATGGAAGCTCAGTTCAACATCATGATGATAAGGACACCCATACAGCAATTTTATCACGTGTTGGCTGCATTACCGCCGGAGATAGTATGCAAACTACTACCTACCATTTTTTATGGTCGGAAGACTATGGCAAACTTAAGAGTCATGAGAGATCAAAGCGAGAGTTGCTTGACAAATTAATGTCTTCTTCCACTCTCACAGGCAGGCCATCCGTTTATTTAAATGAACTGATGTCATTAGCAACAAAAACTGGGGCGACATCATACGACACAACTTAATGCAAGCAATGCCGATTAACATAAAACTTGTCCTGGCAGCGCAAACGGATTTAGAAATGGAAAGACTTGGGAAGATGGCTGACGACCTACTGCTGTATTTTAATAAGCAAAACCCTAATCCCGTTCAGCAATTTCAGAAAGAAAAAGACTGTCGTAGTAGGAATTACAAATTCCAATCTACTGTAAATCTATGTCATCATGACCAGAAAAATATGCAGTAAAAACGCCTCGAATGGTATTTTTATTTTTGAATGTATAATTTCTTAAATGTGGGTTCAAAATATGAAACTCAATAATACTAATGTGGAAAAAAAGTGAGGTGACATACTTGAGGTTGGAGCGGTGAGCACTTGCTCGGGTGCGACGTCCACCTCCTCCTTTATAGTCTCCTACCAGAAGAGTGGGAAGGAGTAAAAGCAGTTACAATGTTATAAAATGCCACCGTGTGGTTTGGCGTCTAGTGAGGAAGGGGCTGTATCGAGATTACCTGGAAGTGTTCTTCCAAGAACAAGAAGAGTAAGTAAATATTCGTGTCCCTTCGGGATTTTAGGAATTATATCCGGATACCTCATCGACCCGTCTTTAAAACTGACCCAGCGGCCATTGTCAAGATTAGACCAGTGTTTAATTGTATCTTGAAAACCGGTAATTCGGTCTTGCTAAACGAGGCCGCTAACTCCGGTGTAAACCTGACTGGCGATATATTGGACATGTTGCTATCACCCACGACAAACGACTATATCCTGCTAGCTGATACCCAGAAAGCGTTCCTGATGATTCACCTGGGATTGGATGCAGACAGGAATATATTCTGTTTCTTAGTTAGGGATGAGGACCGACTCCACTGTTACCAGTATGCTACCCTTATTTTCGGGTTCACCTCCAGCCCCTTCGTATTTGAAATTCCATGCATCCTGGTACCCCTTGGATGCCTGTTGCACGATGGAGAGCCGGTTTTATGTGGACAACCTTGTGATGACTGAGTCTAATCCGGTAAAGCTCGCTGGGTTAGATTCCCTGTATAGAGAAAGTCTACAGGAGGGCGGATTTGTCATTCAGTCCTGTAACACTAATTGCGACAACCTCAGAAGTGAGATGAGCAGAGATGGTACTTTGAGCACTCGTGATGACGAGTGGGAGAGGATACTGGGGTACATATATAATCCTCTCTCGGAAAAGTTGCCCATTGCACCTGTCAGATGCAATCTCGGCGCGTCGACCAAGAGGCAGATACTTTTTGAGGTAGCCAAGGTCTTCGACCCATTGTCTCTATGCTTCCCAGTGATCCTGCGGAGTAGAGTTCTGTTTGGGGTGTTGTGGAAGAAGGGTTTAGGATTGGACGTTCAGATTCCTTAAAAATCACAGTCGCTATAGAGATATTTCTCAGTTGACCTCTCCTCTTTGAGAGCTATCCATTTTAACCGACAGGCCCTTAATGGCGGCCAAACTGGGGACTTGTACTTGTTTCTGCGATACGTCGACAGAGGCTCATGGGTTTGCTGCCTACGTTGTACCATCGATCTTCTTTGGTCTTCGCTAAGGCTAAGTTTGCGCCGTTGAAGGATAAAACACTTCCCACCTGAGAGTTGATGGCCGTTTTCCTTGCACTCAAGTGCCTGCCGACCATCTTGGACAACTGCAAGAAGTTTCTCTCTTCTAATTTGTATGTGGCCATGGATACTCAAGTAGTGTTACTCTGTGTTTTATCGCAGTCCATGGCCAGTAAGAACATCTTTGCAAGAAACAGACTCAAGGACATCCTGCAAATGAGTCTAGGATTGGATTCGCACTATTGACTTAGACCTCACTTTAAGTATGTCACCACAACTCAAAAGCCCGCTGGCCCGATCACCAGAGGATTAACACTGAAGAAGTTCATGTCTAATTTGGAATTTTGGTACCATGGTCCCTCTTGGCTGCACCATGGCATCCTTCCTTGGCATACTCAAAATCTGACCTGATTCGACAGGCAGAGCCACCGGATTGCCCGATCTTAGGCAAACTTCTCGGTGGTCCTGGAGGAAGAACGTCCTTCCGTCATCTCCTTGGAACAGTTTTCTACCGGTTTGTTGACGGTTACGTCTTTGATGTTCAAGCTCATCAGTGGACTGCGGAGACGAGAGGAGGACTGTGGCAGGAACGCGGCTCTTTCTCTAATGAATACTCTACAACGACAGGAATTTGCTGAGGAGATTATATTCCTCCTGGATCCCATGGATTGGATTCCTCCTAGATGCCTAGTCCATGTTCTCGATCTTTTCCTGAACCGGGAAGGGTTGGGCCACTCCGGTGGATGAATTAATAGGTCTTCGCATTTTGGATTTTACTGGGGAAAAACTTATCACCAAACTTATTATCATGGACTGCCATTCTAGATTCTGATCGAGATGAGGCGCAGCAGTTACTAGGTTTTTTCAGGGAAAAGAGGCGGTCAAAAAGGTTCTAGCTTCATGTACTCGGTGCAAGATATTTAATACCAGACCCGTGCTGCCACCTAATGTGGCCAGCCTACCGGTTCCTAGTGTAGAGTTCAAAGTAGCCTTTAGGAACCCAGGTGTCGATTTCACGGGACATCTTTGGGTGAAGGAAGGAACCATGGAAAGGAAAATGTACCTGCTTCTGTTTACTTGCTTGAGCGTCAGGGTAGTACACATCAAGGTAGTACCGGACATGAGTGTTTTGTTTTGCTTCCAGATCTAGACCCTTTCGTACTAGCGCAGGTGTCTCCCAGGACTTCATCCTTGGTCCTACTCTATTTTTCATTAATGGCCTTCCTGATGACATCAACTCTCAACTTGGTATCTACGTTGATGACACAATTTACTTCTGTCTCGATAGTAAGTCTTATCAGTCTGACAAGGTCAAAATGGCAGTCGACGTCCAAAACGACCACAAGTCCGTAGTTAACTGGGGAAAAAGATGGCTTGTTAATTTTAACGCCCCCAAAACTAAACTTCTCTCCACAAATCATCTGAGAGACCCCTTGCTGCTGTTCACCAGCATGGCTGATGCTATCCTCCAGAAAAATGGGTCGTTGTGCCTTCTCGGGCTCACGTTCTCTGCTGATATGAAGTGGAAAGACTATATTGAATTCATTACTAGATCAGTTGCTAAGAAAGTCGGTTCACTATGTCAGTCGAAATAATTTTTCTCTCCAGAATCTATCTTACATAACTATAAGTCTGCCATTCGTCCATGTTTAGCATATTGCTGCCTCATATGGTTCAGTGCTCCTTCTATTTAACTTGATAAGATACGAAGAAAAATCTGAAATATTATTGACCCTGATCTGGCGGCTCAGTTCCAGTGACTTTCCCACCGCCGTAAGGTTACCTCTTTTGTCTTTTCAATAAATACTTTCATGGTAATTGTTCGAATTAGCTCTTCGCTATAGTACCTAGAGTTTTTTAAATTTAAGCACAGCATTAGACTGGCGTCGAGATCTCATCACTTTACAGTTGAGCTGGCTAGATGTTAATTCTTTGCTAACAGTTTCTTCTCTCGTACTTCTCGCTTGTGGATCTCCCTTCCTCCTCCATGCTTTCCAGCCAACTTTACTCTGCTAAAATTTAAATTAAATGTCAAATTCTATCTACTGTCCACCTGATTACTCCCTTCTCTTTTTGTTCATCATTAATGTTTCTGTCCCCAATTCTTTCACGCCCTGTAACCCCTTGTGTTTTAGTGGCATTACTGTCTTGCTTGGGGTGACTCTGCTTAAAAAAAAAAAAAAAAGGCCCTGGTCCGGTTTACCGACCTGTATGGTATTCCCGAGGCTCTTTACAGCAATAATGCTAAGACCTTCCTGGGCAGTGTAAGACTGTATTGTTGTCTCTCTCTCTCCTCCAGGAGTATCAAGATAAGTTTAGCTCGTGCAACATGAAGCTAAAGACGATTTCACTTTTTTCCCCATGGTTCGGGGAAACTTGGGAGAGAAGCATTCAGACGTTGAAATGCCTATACAAAGTTATTGGTAGATGCAAAGTGGGTTATTTCTTCTAACGATCATTTCTGACAGAGGGAAGAACAATCGCCCCTCAACATACTAGGAGACCGCTGAAAAGAAACTAGTGGCAATCATCCCAACATGTTCTGGAGACCCTATAAGAGCTCTGGATTACTGTTGCAGTTGGGGATGAGTGACTTTTCTGCCTCCCAGCCGTAGACGGTAAATTGAGACGATGGCGCCTAGAAACCAATGGTTGCAAAATTTGCATGAGATGTGGTACAATGAGTACCTCCTTGACTTTAGGGAGAGCTCCCCTGGACGATCTCGGTTGCCTTTCCAAAACAGCTTTCAAAGGGATGATGTGGTCCTTATTAAGAATCCACTTAAACCTCGACTCTCTTGGACCCTGGGAACAATATTGGATATCATTCTGGGAGACGATGGCGTGATGAAATCGGCACGTGTCAGGTAGGGTGATGGCTTTGTGCAGATCTATTCCTTAAAACATCTTTATCCTATGGCGATTTCCCTGTCATCTGATGACCAACGACGAGTTTGGGCCGATCTTTCCATCCTTTTTTCTCCGGACACATGATAGCAAGGACATGGAACCCACTTGCTCCCACTCGGTGGAGAAACTAAGATTTGATTGTTCTCTATCTGTAACGCCCCACGGAGAGAGCAGGATATGATAGGCTGACTCGTGTGACGGGTGGTTCCACTTTGATTGTGTCGGAATTGAGGTGGTCCTTCCTAGAAGACAAAAATGGTATTGTGCTCCTTATAAAAGGCGGTGGGTAGGCCATATCTGCTTCCAGCCTAAAAATATTGGTCCTGGGTAAGATTGAAAACCGCAACCGTCAGTGAATCCAAAGGATAAGGGACGGGACGGGAGTAGGTGGCTCTTGACTGGGGCCTAGCGTCTATATGTCTCCTGTCAGGTCTACGGATTTTTTTCTTCTTTCGTCGGGTGTGCGTGAAAAAAATGGGGTGACTTACCTGAGGTTGAAGCGGCGGAATTGATCGAGTAGCAGGGGACTGGCCCCACGACTTGTGTCTTTAGGCGCGGGTGCCACGTACACCTCCTCCTTTATAGCCTCCTACCGAAAAAGTGGGAGGGGGTAGAGGCAGTTACAATGTTATAAAATGCCTCCTCTTTATTGTTACCAGACCCAAGTTGGGAGTAGTTTCCCTTCGCAACCTGGGTTCGTCGATACCTCCAACAAAGGGTCACTATAGTGTCAATTTTTCTTTTCGACACTAAATAGTAATTTCAGTTTTTTGGGTATTGCAAAAGTCGAGCTAGCAAGCAAAAATTCCAAACAATAATTAAGATTACAAATAAAAAAATCGAACAAACATTTTTTTTAAGGTGTAATATTTTTATACAAGTCAAAAGTTTTAAAAATAAAATAAACCAATATTATTGAGAAATGTGCAACATTTTTAAGAGACATTCTAACAATATTGCTGCTGCTGTCGCCATATGAATTCACCTAAAATTCTAAATGCGTCAGCAAATGAATTTCATATCCCCAGAAATATACTATCATGATCAAAATTTGCAATGATAACTTTTCTAAGCTTGAGACTGTAAGAAGAAAATACAGTCTCGCATGAAGTGGTATTTTCTTTCTTGTGAGGCGAACGATATCTACTCCACATCCAGACGTCATGAATCTACCACATGCGTTACACCAAAAAATTTCACGGTGAAAACGTTTGCATAATATCGAGCTATTCCAGTTATTTTCATGATGGGAGGGGGGCAGGTTGATAGTATAAATTGCAAAAGGGGTAAAAGAAAATAAGGAAAAGAGCAGTACATTCCTGGGTGACATCAGCACATTCCTCTTTGGACCACCATAGCTAACGAGTACCTTCATATAGAAAGATACATTTTTTTAGTTCTGACCGGCGATCTGCGAGTTGCCTTCATTTTTTTTATTGCTGTTAGTGTCACGTAGAGAAAAAAGTATTTTTTTTATTGGATCTTTACAAATTTGTTGGTTTTTATTCTTCAGATGAAGTTAATTTTCTTCGTTGTTTTCTGGCGAACTTTGCTCACCGAAAGTAATTTCGCATTTATCTACAAACAAAAAACCAGACACATTTAATATCTCTTCCCCTTGTTGAGATGCAGAGTCGCCTTCTTGTAGATCGTCTATTGTGTCAGAAGCTGCCTCATATTGCATTCCTTCATCAATATCATCAGACACAAACGCTTCTGAGGGGGCTATGTCTTCACAAAAAGAAGCATTTTCGTCTGGAAGGTTTTTCGTAGCTCTCATTTCAACTGTATTTATTTCGGTCATCACGTGTCCGTCAGCCATCATAAAAATATCGTGCCAAAGCAAACAAATTGGTAATTTTTTTGCGAAAACGGGGATATTGTGCTATAAAAACAAAATTAAAAATCTTATTGGATTGTTGTTGGCGATTTATACATCTCACTTATTTTGTGTAAACTAAACAGGCAGTAAAACTTGTACAATCCAGCCGGTTATTTTTGTTGATATTATTTTCCATATATCTTTAGGAAATTTTCAATCGCACTGTAAGCTTCAGTCCTTATCAGATATCTCTTTATAGCGTTGGTATCAAAAGCAGGCCGTCTTCGTGATACATGTTTAGCGCGGCTACTATTCATAAGTTAATTTAAAGACTTACAATTAAGAGAGTTACAATAAAGGGGAATAATTCATAAAATAATATTTTTGAATTTTTTGCTTCAAGACCACCCCCCTCCCAAAAAATAGAACACAGATTGTTGGATAATATTGTATTTTAGTATATATATAAAAAAAGAAAGAGATGTAAATCAAAGTAGTTTTATTTTATAACATAGTTATAGCAGGTACTACACGACATAGCAAGTAAAGAAACATTAACATTTAAAAATGAACAATGTTTTCTGGATTGGAGAAATTAACATTTTTGCAAATGTATAGTAAAATAAGACAAGTAGTTTAAGTTTAAAAATAGTTTAAGCTTACAAAAAGTAAAAAAAAATTAAAAACTGGAAATTTGTACTAGAAATATTTTAATAACTTTAATAACTTACAACTAGTTGATTTTGAATATTATATTAATATCTAGTAAGGTCTGAAAGCTTAACAAGACAATGCAACAAATATATCTAAAATTGATTTTTCAGTGAAGAGAAATTTTAAACACAATTCCTGCCAAGATATTTTTAAAAACATATTCCATTCTATCTTCTTTAAAAGAATGTAATTTTTAGGAAATATATTAGTTTTTAATAAATTAAAAATAGATATTAAAAAGCATTTTTTGGATGATTTTATGTCCATATCTAAATGCTTGTTTACTAAAATGAGAAGCACAAAGATAATTTATAAGGTCTCTATGAGAAAATTTTACATGAAATAATGGTGGTGAAATAGTACATGCACAAAATAACAGAGACCAATTGATCTGTAATACAAGATAACATTTATTTAACAAAAATAATAAAAGGAAAGTTTATATGAAGCATCCAAAGCATTTTTTTTTTTTTACTTCGATGTGAAAAGTTGATGGCACACACTTCAAAAGGAGTAAAAACAGAAAAAGAGGGTTAAGGGTTCAACTGTTTTTATATCCTCAGGGCTGCTGCTGATAATAGCTTTATTAAGGCACTATGGTATACTTTCAAGTGAGATAGTTGTACAACAATCTCAAGAAAGTGAATTTTTATTCTGCCAGGTAAGAAAATAATTTCTTGGACCATTTAATATGATGACTGCTCTTTAAAGTTCTAGGTTCTGTCTGCTTGGTGGTTTCCAATGAATTATCACTAATCTTACTTATTATAAAACGCAGATTGTGTGTGTGTGTGTGTGTGTGTGTGTGTCTGTACGTTTATATATTGGATTGGATTTCCTACATTTTTCAACCGATTTCAACAAAACTTCACAGGACTGCGTAAAATTACCTTGAGGTGGTTCTGACAGCGCCAAAAATTGGAAAAACACAATTGTTTTTGCACAAAATCAATTTGAAAACACGATAAAACATGATTTTGTCACCAGAATGAAAGGGGGACAACTCATATCGAGTTATACTTATTATAAAACCCAGGTTGTTTGTGTGTGTGTGTGTTTGTTTATATACGGGATCGAATTTCCTACATTTTTCAACCGATTTCAACAAAACTTCACTTTTTTTTGGCAGGTAGTGTTTCTTATTGTCTTGCACACTTTTTTCTTTATTTTTACATTCAGAATGCTTTAAAAATTCCATTTACAAGACAATTGTTTATAATAAAATTCTATTCAATCGATAGACTCATAATGATTGAAAACAATGTTTTTGTTTGAGTTTGGGTTTGACAAATTTATAAAAAAAAACAAAAAATAATTAAGACATGTGTGTCCGTCAACCTTAAACAATAATCTTTGTCAGTTTTATTCTTCAGTCTTTATGATGGTCGATACTTGATCTATCTCTTACTGTTACATCCCCGGGCTCTACTGCTAGTATTTTCTAAATGTGCCAGTTTTAGTCGGTTAATGGAAATATTTTCTTGTCTATTATTAATCACAACTGTGAAATGTTTCTCTGTACATTTCACCACCTTATAAGGACCTCTGTAAGCTGGCTTTAAGTGATTTTTTGTTTCATTGTCTTTTACCAGCACAAACTTGCAATTTTTGAGTGATTCTGGCATATATGTTACATGGCTGTGTTGTCTAGGAGATGGAGATGTTACTTGAGACATTTTCAATCTCAACATATCTACAAATGAAGCAGGATACAAGAGTGGTTCATTTGGTTTGATTACTAACACTCCTGGTAGACATAAAAGTGCACCATATACAAGTTCAGCTGCAGAACTCTGTGAATCATATTTTACAGCTGTTTTTAGCCCTAAAAGTATATATTATGAAACCAAGGAGTATAATTCAGTGCTGTTTTCAGAGATTCATTCAGAGAACAATAAAATTGTTCTATGATGCTGTTAGCTTCCGAATAGTAAACGATTGTGTGAATTCTAGTTGTTTAAAAAGCATGTTGGTTAGAGAAGTGAAAAGTGAGGATTCAAATTGTGTTCCTCTATCTGTGGTGATGGCTGTGGGAATACCAAATTTGCTAACCCAACTAGTTATAAAACCCTGTGCAATTGATTTTGCACTAATATCAGTAAGAGGAATTATTGCAGATCAGCAGGTGAATCTATCAATGCAAGTGAGGAGAAAGTAATATCTATGACAGGGCTGATGATGTTGATATGGATATGGTCAAATTGAGTATCAGGAATGGGAAAAATGTAGATGATTTAGTGTGTCTCATTATTTTTGCCTTTTGACATGTCAAATCACTCATATCCTTTATTGCCATATTCATGATGTTTTGGCTGTTGTATGTTTGGCTTCAGGTGATTGGAATTTCGAACTAAACCCTTTATTTCATCAACCTTGGTAGATTGCTCTAGTTCCACGTGGCATGCCTCTTCCGGATGTTTCAGTTATCTCTCTTTAACTCAACTCTCCAAGTTTTTGTTCACCACTGTAGTAGCCAGGTATTAAACTCTTTGGGTCAAGTCACTGGATCCAACCAATGCGTTTATCCACTGGGCCAAGGCCTTGAGGAAAAATCACTTGAAGAAGGCCAGAGCATACAATGGCCAAAACGTTGTGAATATGGTAATAAAGATGAGGACAACAGTCCAAACAATGTAAGTAATGTAAATAATTACAATACTACATTTCAGAAACGTAGACACATATTGAGTGCAGAGTATTAAATAGTTTTCTACAGAGAGTTTTCAGAACAAAAGGCTGCAAATTTTCTGTAGAAATGTTGCACTAGATGGAATGTTTCACCTGTGGAATATATATTTCCTTCATTTGTAATGAAGAATTATTGTCCTTTAGAGGAGATCTTAGATATAGATTTTTAAGATATTGCAATTTCACAAAAAGATGATGACTCGATTTATATCAATTGCAGAAATATTCCTGGAGAGTGTGTCTGCTAGAATGTTTGCAGAGCCATTGATATGTCAAACATCAGTTGTGAATTTACATGTTTGAAGTTGTCAGTCGCTTGTTTCAGGAAAATAAATCAGAAATTTTTAAAGTTCATAGCTTTAACATATTGTCATGAAAAGGAAATGTTCATACAACAGATTAAATGATCTGACAAAATAATATTCAAAAATGTTTAAAACAAAGGTAAGAAAGTTCATTGTTCACAGAAGGGATATATGGTTTGTATATGTTCAAAAGAAGATGAAGAGAGATAGCTTGAAAAACTTAGCTTTCTTGGACTGTTGAAATAAAGTTCTTTGAACTGCCACACATTTGGTTAAGGCTGATAATTGGCGAGTAATTTGACACTGGCAAAAATTTCAAGCTAGATGTATGAACAGAAACAAAACCTTTCACATGATTTCAGACATTTTTTTCATGTAAATTAAATTTTTTCCTTATTTTATATCAAAAAGGATTTTGCATTGGCTCGCTATTTTCTTTTCTAAGCTCAATGACTAATTTCTATAAAGACAAGGTTTTCATTGGCCCAAGGAAAATTTCACATAGGCTAGCAAATTTCTTTCCATCTTTTTCCTCAGCTCGTCTGAATTTGAAGGGAGTAGATAAAGGGAGTTATTATTTCATACTCACCACAGGTGTAGTGAAGATCTGGGACTTCCACTAATCACACTGTCTTCAAGTGTTTAGGTTTAGGGATACTATAGAAAAGAACGGTTATATACTGTATGGAGACAAATCATCTCAATGTGACTTCACACCAAACACCAACTCAAAAACTTTCACCAGATTACTGGTCACAGTGACCTGAGCTAAATTACCTTAATGTTTGTTTACGGCATATCAACCTCTTATGGGTCATTTAATAACGACTTACCTGAATCCTTCCAGGTTGATGTTACCTCAGTTATATAAAGATCTAATGTTTTTGTTCTAGTTTACAATTTTTAAGCAAAACTCATTAATTTACCATTAGTTCTGCATAGTCCCTCAACTGAGACTAGTTGACATTTTAACCTTAAAAAAAAAAATGAGAATTTGATAGTTACCCTTTCTATTAAAGACAGTGTTAACATTGTCCTGTTTCTTTTTTATCTGTGACTTTCTTATCTGAATTCAACCTGAAGCCCAACCAGTTTTGAATTCAGAGTTCTCCTAAACTGGTTGCCACCTAAAACATAGAGAACTCACTCTCCTAACTGGTGGAGAGAAAAGACGGATTCATATACTTTCAAGTGCATTTGTGTGCAAGTGAATACAATGGTTTTGGTTGGAATTTTAACTTGACATGACAATTACTCTTTCCACATTGATGACCACTAAACTACATGCACATCCATTTCCAACACATTGATGAAAGGAAAATTTGAGAATAAGGCAAATAGTTCTTGAAAATAGTCAAAATTTATTTAATATCAAATGGTTATCTAAATGAAATGAAAGGTTTCTTTTTCTTAGGGTATCATCTAACAAAATAATTAAACTGGGAAAAATATGATAGATAAACTTTATATATCAGACTAATGGTGGGTAATTGGATGACACAATGCAAAAAGCTATGATTCATTCCTTATGAAGAATGAAACAGACTTAAATAATATTCTTATTGATAGAATTTATATTTCCACCCTACATATATATAATTCCATCAACAAGAACATTATTTTATCTGATAAAGTCCTTTTGAAGGATAAAACATATTATATAGAAATTTTTCTATTTTATCATCCAATTACCAAACTATAGGATGTATACTTATTTCAATCTGAAAGAAAAGTACCTTAACCTTAGTGATTATCAATTAACTTGGTATTATTTAAAAAACAGAATACACATGCTTTAAAGCTGTATGAGTTTATTACATTTTTTTAATAGTTTGTGAAGTTATGATAGTGTGAATTTGTCTGATAGATCATACAAAACAATTATATTTAATACACTTATTTTAATAAAAAAAACTGTTTCTTTTAGTTTGACAAAATAAGTATAATCAGATAACACAATAAATAATTTAAGCTATAGGTTTCATTAATTTTATGTTACTTGAACAGAAATGATAGAAAATCTCAGTAAAATCTTGATATTATTCAGTAATGAATCATAATGCTTTTGCTTTGTTTTAAAAGAAAAATTGAAAAGCAGGAGAGTGCTTTGGCTCGAAGTAATTGTTAATGAGCTAGTCTGATTGACCATTACTGATGCTTTATACTTGGGACCATGTACCAAACTTAGTAAATAATTTATTTATTTTTTTATTCTTCTTGTCACTGAACAATGCACAATGAAATTAGACAGCAGTCCCCAGATGCCCCAGTACAAACACCCACAAAAAAAAGAAAGCAAATAAAAAAGCAAATAAAAAATGCATACACACACACACACATATATATATATATATATATATATATATATATATATATATATAATACTGATGAAAGAAACATGCAGCATTGAATGATGGAAAAAAAAACAAAGAATGACAAATATACACTATATTATTTTTGGAAGAGAAATGCCATGACTCTTTATTTCTGATGAAGGAAACAAATATGAAGAAAAACAAACATTTTAATACAGAAATTTAGATATAACTCTACATTGTTGGTTACAATGGATGAACTGCAAATTTCCAGAGATTTTCTCGGCTAAAATTTAAAATGTCTTTACTGTTGGGAAAACAAAAAGAAGAAACTAATACTTTATTAGAATTGTGAACTATTAATTAATTTTAACTTGTTTTTTCATTTTATCTTATTTTGCTGTTTTTTACAACAAACTCATTCTTTATTTTCAGACCTATGCTGCTTTCATTCTATGACATTCATAGAATGTAAAAACAACTTATGTGTTGTGATAAAAAGCAACAAAACTAAGATAAAAAGAAAAAAACAGTTAAAATGGCAATGATTTGTTTAAGATAGTGAAAAAGCGTAATATTAGGTTGGCAAGAAAGTCCTAACTCACTCATGAAGTGGAAAGAAAACAACAAATTTTGATCTCATTCTAGTGGAATTTCCAAACAGTACTTCATTTCAAGCTTGTTCCACATGATCACACCATCAATGCTAAACTATACTGCTAGCAGCTAGACTGCATGTATGACAAACTAAAGAAGGAGTATCATGCTTTGGTCAGTCAAGGTCAGGCTTTGTTTCAGCAAAATAATATGAAGCCATACACTGCCAGGTTGACTAAAGAGAAGTTCAAACAAATGGATGGTGTTGAGATTCTTCCACATTCACCATTCAGTCCCAATGCTGCTCCAAGTGACTATGGCCTATTCTGCTCGATGATACACTTCCTCCGTAACCAGCAATTAAACACTTCTGATGAAATGAAAAAAGCTTGTTTACAGTTTTTTCATTCAAAGCCAGTGGACTGGTATCTGGGACAGATTTGGATGCTGGCTGATCGCTGGCAGAAGATAGTTGAAGAATAAATGTTGATGTTGCTCTATAAAATTTTGTTGTTTTCTTTTCAATTCCTAAGTCAGGGCTTTCTGGCAAGCCTAATATTGTCATACAATCTATATGCACTTGCACAAAAATGCAACCAGAAGATCAAAGAAAAACTATTTTTATGCAAACTTAAATCTTATTTAATGAATATAATTTTTTATTCATATTTTACTCATAAATTTAGATTTCTGAAGTTTTATTTTTACAGATTAACATTCTCATGCAAAATTTGTTCCCAATATGATGTACCAAACAGCAATGCAATATTATGCAATCTAAATGTTTTAAACGTAATAAGTGAATATAAAAAGATGAAGATAGAAATGATTTACAATCATATGAGATAAAAAGAAAAGAAATGTTTGTTGAAATAAAGATACAACATTCCGATTCCATGGCTAGAAATTAAAAAGCCTCTATTTGGGTGTAGGAAAATATCGGTTAGAGGCAACATGTTCTTTTAAGTACTCTCCTCCCATTTCTTCATACATGGCTCGAGTAACGCTGCTAGTATGTACAAGGGGTGACAGGGCCCATTGCCGAGCTCCATACCAAGAGTCCAGGATTGGATCAGCTGAGAGTGAAAAGAAAAACATTAAGAAAATGTTAAATATAGCAAATATATAATATAGAAATTGCATTATAACTAATTAAATTATAAAATTTAATAAAATAATCTTATTCTCTCAGTAAGACTATTTTGTACAAATACCATGTAGAAATGTTTCAATTTATAAAAGTAGCATGCTGGACAATTTTCTCACAGATAAAAAAAAGACTTGAGGCAACAGAAATATGGTTCTACAGAAGGAGGCTGAGAATACCATGGACTGAACATGTGAGCAATGATGAAGTTTTAGAGAAAATGGAAACAAAAACGATACTTATACTTAGCATCAGAAAAAGACAGTTGAAATTTCTAGAGCACATAATAAGGAAAGAGGGTTTAGAAAATTTGACACTCACAGAACATGTTGAAAGTAAGAGGGAGATAGAAAAACAGCACATAACCTACCTAACAAGCTTGTGTAAATGGATGGCAGGACAGGAGTTAGGAGTGATAGCAAAAAAACAAAAACAAAATTTACTAAAGAGCTACAAAGGACAGGAAATTGTGGAGAGCCATTATTGTCAAAGTCTTGAAGGAGCATGGCATCTAGAACAAGTCAATTCAAATAAACAGTGTGCCATACTAAATAAACAACATTCTGAGAGTAAAGAAATAATGTAAACATTCTGGCATTTGTATTTGGTACACAAAAGTATACTGATTCCAGACTACTAATAATTCCTTTCTTCTTTCATTTCTCTAGTAAAACTACTTGCAATGCTTTACTAAAAGAAAATGATTTTTTTTATATGCTATTTTCATTACCAGAAAAATGTCAATCAATTTTCTGGCTTTAACAGATTTCAACATTAAATAATTGTCTTAAACAAATCCACTGACTTGCTGTCAATCATTCATTACTGTAAATAATCAACAATGAAATTAATGAGAGTAATTTTTAAATGATACATAATTTAAGAAAAGTACCATTCAGGTACATCAATTATCTCCTTTTTTATTTTCTACATTTTAATTTTTTGCTGAAGGGAAACATTTGACAGAGTTTGATTTGATTTACTGGTTTTGATGAAGACAGCTTTTGGACAAATGACATTCACTCTTAAGAACTGGACCCATGTAATTTTTAAAAGAATATTTTTTTTTAATTCAACATTATTTCTTATTATTACAAACATTATTTTTAGTGAGCATCTTGTTATTTTAATCAGTGAAATTAATGTCAACCAGCATAGAAATCAAGACCTTTCTAATAAAAAATAAACTTTTAAAAAGATCATTTTATGTTTCAGGTACAAAAATAAAGTGAACAGATACAGATTTTGAGACATTTTAGTGGGATAGGTTTTATATATTCTAGATTCTGAATTGTTGTAATCTTAACATTTTCAAGAGGCTGGCAACAAAGCTGTCCTTCTCAACCATAAGTTAGAATTCAACTCATATTTCAGTTCATCTCATAATATCTGTACTGAAGGTCAGAAAAAATATAAATAAGTGAATGTTTAATTAGAATTTAATTAACATAAGTTCTATTATTATGATCAATGATCCTCTACCAATGAGTCACAAGCTTTATATCATTTTTGCAAAAAAGTGTTTTGGTTAGGAGGAAAACAATATAGAGAGAGTAATTTCCATCTCTCTGTTTTTTTAAAGGACTAGTCTTTAATCAAGAAAGTTTTCTAAACTTTGGAATCAACAGTATTAGATGGCACAAGATCTGGAGAATAAGTGTGGAATTATTTCTAAGCTGAGGTCTTCAGTCTTTTCTGATGTGATCTTTGTTGGATAGAGCCATATATTAATCACACTTTTTCATTTGATCAAACTGTTTCTTTTCTTTCAAAGTAGTGTTTAAATACTCTAACTGCTGACAAGATATTTAATCATAACTTTTAGTAACTCAAAATAGACCACACTAATGTAATCCTATCAAGCAGCAAAATTTTTCTTGAATGGAGGTTAATTTTAAATCAATGCATTAGCATGTTTGCCTCAAGTAATCTATTGTCTGTATTACATTATATTCTTGTAAAATATCTGTTATATCTCGTGCAAGATATAATAAACAAAATAACCAGAGTGTTGGTTTTCAATAATAGGTTTATAATCGGATGTAGGTGTGTCAAGTACAGAGACAGAGTCGGGAGTATGCTAACCTCAATAGGTGTTAACAAACGAAGACTTGACGACTGTCCGCTGTGGTCGTACTTAATCGGCAACCAGTCCATCCATTATCGTGAATGGGGAAGTTGGGTTATATCATCACAACACCTCCCCCCGAAGCTGAAATTCTCCCTTTTGAAAATTTCTGCTTCTAATGTCGTCTTCTTTTTGGATCCGGGCTAAAACACTCCACTGGTTTTCTTTCCCGTGTGCTCCTTCTTTTAGTTGTCACAATTAGATCCTTTTTTGGCGAAGATAATTTCCGCTTTTCAGCCTGTAAGGCTGGTCCATGAAATACAGGTTCATATACACTATTGGGTAGTGTCATGTTAAAAGCATCGCTTAACACTTCCATCGGAATTTCTTCTTCGCTTTTTTCACTTTCTTCACCATATCATGGTCTAATCTGATTGATGTGTCTTTTACACGTAAAGTTTTTACTTTTAATCAGGTAGACCACTTTACCTATCCTTTTTTGGATTATGCCATCCATCCAATAGCTTTTTCCACTTTTAAAATTTAAAAAAAAAAACTGTCTCCTGATGTGTATTTTTTTATGTTGACTTTTTCCTCTTTCTTAGCAACTTTTTTGTTTTGATAGGGTAACAATCTATCGAAAATTGATCTAATTTTCCTTGCGAACATAATTTCCGCCGGTGACATTTTCGCATCGTTGTTCTCATTAGGAGTTACCCTATAGATTGCTAAGAACTTCTGAATAGTTCTTTCTTCCGTGTCCATACCTTTATTTTTACGTAAAGCATGTTTAAAAGTGTCAACAAATTTATCGGCTTGACTGTTCGACCTGGGATGACACACTAGTGTAGTTATGTGTTCAATGTCTAAGGCAGTACAGAAATCCTTAAACTCCATACTTGTGAACACCGTACCATTGTCGCTAACCAATGTCCTGGGAACCCCGAATCGACTGAAAATTTCATCCAATGCACTGATGGTGTTTCTTGATGTAGGATGCTTGCACTTGACTACCTCAGGCCATTTCGATAAAGAGTCCACCAATATCAAATAATAGTACCCATTAATTGGTCCAGCATAGGCTATATGTAGACGTGTCCACAGCAAATCCGTTTTCGGCCAAGGATTCATTTTGACCGGAGGTGCCCTTGCAGCCAATTGACAACCGCTACATAGTCTTACAAAACCTTCAATATCCTTGTCCATTCCTGGCCAGTATACGTAACCACGCATGAGTGATTTCATCCGAGACATTCCAGGATGACCGTATGAAATTCTTTCAGCATATCTGTACGTAGAGATTGAGGTATAACAATTCTATCTGTGTACATCAACGTGTTGTTGCAAATTGAAAAAGGTGAAATCTGAGTTCTCTTTTTCTGTCTTTTGTTCCATCTCATCTGGTTCCTTAATTTCACAATATAGTGATCTTTTTCCGCTTCTTTTTTTATTTGGTCCAAAGTTACCGGCAATTCCCTGATTGTATTCAACAAGAGACCTGATATTTCTTTTTCCTCAGTTAATGCTGCTATAACCGTCTCTTCTAAAATTTCTTTATTTTTTTGAAATCAGCCTTGACAGTCCATCTGCATGCCCATGTTCTTTAGATTTGACGTATTCCATCCTAAAATGGTAATTAAGCAGGGTTACACCCCATCGCTGTAAGCGATTAGCTGTATGCGTAGGAATGCCTTTTTTACCTCCAAATATTGTAAGTAACGGTTTATGATCCGTTTGAAGTACAAATGATCTACCATGTAAAAAGCGATGGTATTTTTTAACCCCAAACACAATCGACAAAGTCTCTTTCTCGATCTGGCTATAATTTTTTTCAGCCGGAAGAGTCCTCGATGCGTGCGCGATCGGTTTAGTAGTGCCATCTTCATATTTGTGTAGCAGTACAGCCCCGTCTCCGTACAAACTTGTGTCAGTTGCCAGAATGATCTCTTTCTCAGGATCATAATGTGCTAAGGCAAGATCTGAGAGTAGGCATTTTTTTATTTTCTGAAAAGCCGTCTCGCAATCTTTTGACCAAAACCATTTCTTGTCTTTTTTCAACAATTCGTTAAGGGGGGCTCTTAAATCATACATTTTAGGTATGTAGATTGCATAATATTGTGCCAACCCCAGAAACGATTGTAGTTTCAAGAACTGTGTCGGGTGCAGGCATGTTCTTAATTGCATTGGCTCTCTGTGGGTCCGGTTTCCTGCCTTCACTGTCTATCACCTGTCCGAGGTATGTAATTCTTTCCATGAAGAATTTACACTTCTCGTGGCTTAATTTAAAGCCAAAATCTTCTAGTCTTTTGAATATCGCTCTGATGTGCGTTTTATGTTCTTGAACATTCTTACTTTTGACTAGAATGTCATCTAAATAGGCGGTACCAAACTCAAGGCCTGCCAGCATAGTGTCCATCACCTGTTGGAACAAAGCTGGGGTGACCTTTAAGCCGAAAGGAAGTCTATTTAGCTTATAAATACCTTTATGTGTATTTATACACAAATATTTTGAGCATTCGTCACTCACTTTAATCTGCAAGTATCGTCAGACAGGTCGATTTTTTTTGAAAAAAATCTTACCACCATTCAATTTTGAAAAAATATCTTCTGGTGAAGGTAGTGGATAACTGTGATTTTTAAGGCAATCATTTAACCCTGTTGAAAAATCTGCACACACTCTTATTTTTCCGTTTTTCTTCTTAACATAAACTGTAGGCAAAGCCCAATCCACATGGTCAACCTTAGATATCACTCCCATTTTTTCAAGCCTTTCCAATTCCTTATTAATTGTGTCTAAGGAGGAAAAAGGAACGTTTCTCTTAGGTTTAAAAATTGGTTTCACATTTTCCTTGAGTTCAAAT